TCGAGCAAACCTCCTCCCCTCCCCTTCCCTCCATGGATCCATCCACCCCTCCTCCACGTGCGTCTTCCCTCAAGTCCGGCGGCCTACATGGCGTCCCCTCCCCCACTCTATGGCGGCGCCGGCTTCGATGAGGTAGGTCGTTCCTGCTCTGGATCTAAGCCCTCCTCCTCCTCTGAATCTGAGCCCTCCTCCTATCCTCCTCCTCCTCTGGATCTGAGGGACGCGGCGGTGGCTAGGGTTCCAGCGAGCTCTGGGGGTCCTATTTCCTCCTCCCTCCGGTGAGCTCAAAGGTGATGGGCCAGGGGCTGGAGCAGCCTGCACCTCGAACCATAGTTTTAAATAGCGGGCTATTGAAAATAGCGACAACTTTTTTTCAACAGCTATGAGGCTATAGCGGTGTTATAGCGGTGCTATGACAGATAACGTTTTTATAAAGAAAACATGAAAAATACCAATAATTGATGCAAAACACATGGTAAATATGAAATTCGACGAACAAAAATATGTTTCTAAGGTTCCACAAGTCTAGGTAACATTACTAATATGACATTACAACATGGTACATGAAAGTCCAGTGTTTAATTATCCAAAATACTAAATTAGTAGCAAATGATAAGTAGGAAATAACAAATTAAATTGTCAAAATCTATTAGTGATGGCAAAATCTGAAATAGCACCGCCATTAGAACGCTAAAGCTATGCAATTAGCGGAGCTATAGCACACAATAGCAGTTAAAGTTGGCATAGCGGCACAAATAGAAATAGCTTAGCGTTGAGTCTCTCCGGCCACTATAGCGACACTATAGCCCGCTATTTTTTTCTATGCCTCGAACCCATCCCCTTGTTGTTGTATGTCCTAGCCTATATGTCCGATGATGTTGCAGTATCTGATTTATAATGTTGTGTTTACTGTTTCTTCGTGTTGCAAGGGGATTTTTGGGATGTTGCAATAGATGATTTTAAATGTTGCAATAGGTGATTCATGTGTTACAGAAAGGGAGTTTTAATGTTAGGATTGTATTTTTCCTTTAATATTGTAACTTGTGAGTTTTAACTTTTTCTACGTGTTGTGGCAAGCGAATTTAATTGTTGAAATTACCTTTTTCAAATGTTGCAGCACTGAAAGGTGATTTGAGATGTTTCCATTTTCATATTTCATGGTTGATTTTGTGACGTTGCATTTCTACTGTTTGAGATGTTGCAGTATGATATTCTTTATGTTGTACGAGATTATATTGAGGAAACCCAATGAGAAAATATGACCTCTAGGACGGACGGGGATAGGGGCGTGGTGGGGTACGTGGTGCCACGGAGATGAGGGTGCGGTGTCCTGCTCGTGCTCTTTGGTGCGGACCGAAACGTGTGAAGAGGAAGAAGCGGGATCTAACGGTTTGGTCGAATCGGATGTCTAGGACCTACGTCCGGACGCAGCTAGGTGCCGGACATCTGGGTGCTAGTAGCGCCGATGTAAAAAAGGCCACGTTTCGAATCATCTCAGACCCCAGAGAGAAGGTCAAAGGGACAATGCCACTATTACACTGTTTTGTTAGCCTCTTTACTTGAATCATACAAAAACCACAAATTAGGAAAGACTGGATTATATATTTCGAACCGAAGAGAGGAGGTCAAAGACTCAAAGGAGGCCATATCTTCTGTTGATTGGAACGGATATTGTATCACGTTGCCACATATCCTGAATACATGTGATCTGATAAACAGGTTCATGTGCCAAACTGCCAAAAACAGAAATAGCTATAAGTGCCCTCTTCCATTGTTTTTTCTTCTTCTAGACTAGAAAGTGGATTTTGTTTCTGTGACGTTCTTTTAGTTGTAGTCCTAAGTTCATAGAAATTATGTGACTTCTGGAAGAAAAAAAAACAGATTGTACTCATACTTGCAGGTTATCTTCAGCATAACTAATTGAATTTGGAACATCCTACAAAAGGAGAGTAACAGATCACTTGCGAAGTGGGCATGTTACACGTTAGAGACTTTAACTCTGGAGATCTTCGCGGATAGTCGAATTTTAAAAGGATTAGAGCTTAGTTAGGCGTTCTCTCGTTTGGTTTCGCTTTTGTGAGCTTTATATAAACAATTGATGGTTGAAACTGTAATAAGAATTGGTTGTGTGCAAATCTCATGCAGAGGCCGAAATTTAAAAGAATTGTAAGCTATTTTGTTTTCTCCTTGTGGCGGGGTTAAGGGCGTAGCGAGTGTGTTAGAAACTGCATAATATGAGCTGGAGCAGTTTTTAGCTTCAGTGAACTGAGCTTAGCTTAACTGGTTAGATTGTTTGTTGTGAAAGCTGTCTATCTGGTTCAAAAGTCAATGATTTGGTACGAGTGCTCGTATTTTCGGAGGTGCTCACAGAGATAACATGTATTAAATTCCATTTCTGTTTGGAAAAACTGAATTCCGTTTATGACTTATTATTATGTAATTCCACTTTCTGGTTTTGGTCCTGTTCGTTTCGGCTTATTTACTCGTATCTTACTTATACTCCACAACTTAAACAGTATTTTTCTCTCACACTAAACTAGCCCGCAGTACTTTCAGCCATGGCTTATAAGCTAATTCAGCCGAAACGAACAGCCTGTTTATGTGAACCTTCGAGCCTTGATGGGCTCCGTAGGCACCAAAACGAAACAGGCCGCGGTGGGCGAATCATTTCATTTCTGTGGGTGAGGCTGACTTCGTAGCTGCGGCCTTCAGTGCGCTTAGCAAGCGCTTCCACAGTTTCCACAAGCTGTTGCCGTTCCACTGAGCCAGGCGGCGGCGGACCGCAGGCCGTAGCGGCGTTGAAGACGCAAATCGCGAGCGGGGGCTGGGTCTCCCGGCCGGTGCGGTGCGGTCGAGCTGACCATTTTATTCCGCGTCCACTGACCGGGCTCAAGGGGAAGTATCGCGTGCACGCATGGATGATCTCCTAATGTCAAGCCCGTGGTTTAGGCCTGTGATGATATTCTAACAATCTAATCCCAGCTAGAGCAGAGGATATGCACAGAGATTTTGCTGCAGCCTTGACTTGTCTGGTCAAAGTCGGTTGGATGCCGGATATCCCCATATCCCATATGGGATTTGCTTGAAAGCAAGTATGCACAAACTCTTGAAATCTGGATATCCCTATCCATGCTGAATCACTGGTATCCCCCGCTTCATCCGTCACATCCTCTCCCCTCTCCATCAAATTAATTAGTTAAGTTGAATGGATAGTTTGCATCCATGCCTTCCCATCTCCTACTCTCTTTTTTTTTGCCACCTTTTTTCTCTCTCTCGCATTTCTCTCTCGTTCCAACTTAAGTTTATACATATATAAAGTTATAAACAACAAGAGATCTTCCATAATCTCACTAATTGGTCTATCAACTAAGTTATATTAATATCTTCTGCATCCAAGAAAAACATAAACTTGTTCTTTTAATGTCCACTTCTCCCTCTTCCTCCTTTACACCCCCCCCCCCACCACCACCACACACACACTTATCTGTCCATCTCCCTTTCTCCATTGTCCTCTCCATCCCTCATTTCCTCTCTTTCTCCCTTTCTCCATTGTCCTCTCCACTCTCCATCCCTCATCTCCTCTCTTTCTGCTATCACTCTCCCTTCCTCTCCTCTTTCTTTTTTTAATAATGGAACAAAGTTCTAGCCTCTACCATCCGAAGATGTTACACAGCTGAGTGTCAAACACAAAACAAAGCAATAAGGCTTAAGTTCTCACAACTAGGAGATGAAAGAAAGCAAGCAATAGAGTTCAGCCCAACAAGGACGAGCAACCAACAACTAGAAAAGAACAAAAAGCTACGCTTCAATTCGATTCCGGAAACACCACCCAAACTTTGTGAAGACCCTCCCCTCTTTGTTACTTGCTAGCTTAGAGGAACGACATATACGTGTTCCTTTTGATTAGACAAAAAAATCCATAAAATAGACATGCTTATTAGACTCTTCTTTTTGTCCTATCTAAAAATTAATTAGTCGTTAGCTAGTTTCTCCTACCTAATATAAATTGAAATTATCATTTAGCTGGTTTCTCTTGGTCTGTTCCAAGTATTGTTTAACACGAATCCACACATATAAATGAATCCTGCTAGAATAAACAAAAATAGTTATTGACATTTTTTATTTTTAAGGTCAGACCAACAAGTTTTGTGACAGGAGGTAGCACCAAAATTTAGGGTCAATATGGTAAAGCTCCACCAGCTTTGGCACATTTTGTGGTAGCAGTTTCGAAAGACATTTACAAAAAATGGTTCACCTGTAGTTTTGTTATGATTTATATCAAGATTGTGAGAAAGGAGTCTTGAGAGGTCACGTTTTCGCAGCTCCGACTCTTTAGTAGAAAAATGACTTCGACTCCTCTGGATTTCTTCGTAAGAGCTATTTTCAGGTGCAGCATTTAGCACGGCTATGTGGTAAGAGCCACAATAAGCTAGAGCAGACGCCGCGCCAAACGACCTCTAATTAGTATGTTATGTTATAAATTGATTGTGCCTTTTATATTGGACTATATAAAATATAAATATATTGCTCCATACACCTGATCAACGTCGTCACCACGAGATCGAGGTCTTCTGTGGACAAGGACAACCCTCCCTGCTTCGAATGGAAAAACAGAGGGAATAATTGAAGAGAAGGCAAGGGAATCAAAGAGACGACTATTAGAAGCTTCCCTTGCTTCATCTTGCAAGCAAGCCGAGTTTGAAAATGGTTCGAAGCACGCCTAGAAACACGTACAGGTTTTATCGTACGCAATGTACACTACACCGCAACACCAAGATTGGCTGACGTGGAAACTAGCTAGAACAATGGAAATAAAGGGTACATAGAAATGTCCGACGTACTCGCGTGTAGTAAGTGTACATACCATGTCATGCTACGTGGAGCATGGTGTATCAATTGTTCTTGCACAAGTTATTCATAACTTATTCATTTGTGCTAGTTTATTTATTTTTCACGTCTAGTGGGTCAAATAGGTACGTTCAGCTCGATCGAGCTCACGCTTATGGGCAGAAGACGACGTTGTAGTTGGTGCCGCCGGGGCAAGTGTAGGTGCTGGTGGCGTCGTCCTTGGGGTAGCTGTAGGCGTCCGGGCACAGCCCCTTGAAGAACCTGGAGTAGTCGGTGGGCCCGCAGCTGTTCGCCGCCGAGCCGGTGCAGCAGTAATCGTCGGTCTTGAACACGGTGCAAGGGTTGTCGCAGCCGCCGGGGGCCTGCAGCGCGGCGGGGCACTGCGACGTGACGTCGGCGTCGCACCGCGGCCCGCCCTTGGGGCACCCGGAGCCGTCGCCGGCGGGGAGGAAGTCCAGGGGCACGTTGAAGCCGTCCACCAGGGAGATGTCGAAGAAGTCGAGCCCTTGGAACTGGTTCAGCCCGTACTCGGCCAGCGTGTTGGGCGGCTGCCCGTACTGCGTGCACTGCAGCACGCCGCCGCAGTCGCCCGTCTGGCACCGCCCGTTGCCGCTGCCGTCGAAGGAGCAGCCCGTGCGCGCCCACACGCGGCCGCCCGTGGTGCCCGCCGGCACGTCGATGCTCCACGTCTGCCCGTTGTCCAGCTGCCGCCCGCCGCCCGGCACCGCCGCCGCCCACACGGTGTACGGGCAGTTGTTGGTTACGGTGAAGGTGGCCGCGTCGGCAGCGGCAGCGAGGAGGACAAGGACGAGCGGGAGGACGTGGAGGACGGAAGAAGCCATTGTTTCTCTGTCTGCTGCTCCGATTCCCCTCCAACTGTCTAGTTTGTATGTTGCAGTGATGCATAGTGGAGGGAACGGATGAGTATATATATAGCTGTGGCAGTGTGCATGAACTGGAAGAATTCAACATTTGCGTGCTAGAATTTTCTCGCCGAGTTTCTAAGCTTCCACGAGTTTGGCAAGGCAGCTTGATTGGATAATCCGAATCGTCGTAGCTTTGTCTTCCTGGCATACGTATGGCATTGGAATTATAGTTATGCACTAGATCCAATTTACACTGCCAAACTCGATGTGGATTTTGTCGATCGATATTACGTCCATTACTGCTTGTTTTTTCGACAATAATGCATCTCGAGAAAGTAGCGACCAGTATACTGCTCGCTCCTTCATGCATGATTCATTTGCACAACAGCTCATGTAAAGAAATCTTGCATTCTGTACTTAATAGACGAAATTATTATTGGATTTCTGCAATACCCATTCGTTCCAAAATGTTCCAAGTCAAGCTTCTCTGCAGTTTTTTTTTTTTTTTGATGAAAACAGGAGGGGCTTGAGCCCCTACTGCACTTTATTAAAAAAAAAAACAGTTCCAAGTACAAACTAAGGAGCTTCTCTGCAGTTGACTAAGTTTATAGAGAATTATACTAACATCCATGATACCTAATAAATGCACTATCATCAAGACATATGTTATGATGGATTTAAAGAAACTAATTCGATGTTGCAGATGTTGGAGTATATATAATTTAGTTGAAGTTATAAAAGTTTGATTTAGAACAAAACTAAAACGATCTAGGCTATGGAACATACAGTAGTGGGTAAAGTAAAATTTTCATCCTCAAACTTGTGTGGTAGTCTAATTTTCAACCTTAAACTACAAAACTGGGTAAAAAAACACCCTCCAATTATGAAAACCAGATAAATTTGGTCCTCTGGTTTTAAAGGTGGTTTTCTTTTTTTTTTAAATAATAAAAATCTTATATACTATCTCAAAATTCAAAATTAATTTATTTATTTTAAATCAGAAAAATATGAACTAGTACCAATGATTTCTAAAAATGTTCACTACTTGTTTGTGATCTATATACATGTACTTAGAACTGGTTTATTTCTATTCCTATTGCTTTATTGATCATAGTTGCACTCATTGTTTATTTAAAACAAGATATGAATAACTCTAAATATAGCATCAACATATAGATGACATTTTTAGAAGAAACTGGAACTACTTTCATTTTTATGATTTAAAATAAATTAATTATTAATTTCTAGAGATCAAACCTTATTTCTATTATTATTGTTGTTAGAAAATAGAAAACCATGTTTTGAAGCTGGCCAGAGGATCAAATTTATCGGTATGTTACCCGATTTCATAGTTTAAAATTCAAAGTTGGACTACTCTGTAAGTTGGAGGTAAAAAAAATGTACTTTACCATCTAGTAGTTGAAATTGTAATATGTCGCTTCTTCCAGGAATGAAGTCAAATTACAAGATAGAAAATATGGGACAATGTTGAAATTAAATGAACTGTTCGCCGCGGGCACGTTGAATTTCCACACATGCATGTTGACGAATCAGCACGAGTGTACAAGACTTCTACGCTGAAGTTATTGCATCTGATGACTCTAAAGTTTATCCAGAATTGCTTGAACATTTGCAGTTGCATGTGCGCGGAGATTTCTGCCAAACAACAGCGTGCAGTAGACGTCAAATTGGTCAAGAAATGGCTGAAATGGGTGCACGCACGGATGATGGACGCGCCAAATACTTGGTCCTTCCGATGATTGTGGCGAGTGCGTCGCTGGCAACTGGCATGTCAAAATTAATGATTATCGTGCTTCGAGTGATAAGAGAAAAAGAAAAGTCTTACTTTCCAAAACAAAGCGGAAAGTAATACACTTTCTGACAAACATTGTGCGATGGCCTCCATGTGTTTCATAAGTTGCGCTCTTAATTTTTTTAAACGAAATGGTCCAGATTTTTCGTGATCTCCAAAGTTCAAACCTGCTGCCTCTTGGCAAAGCTCGCTCTGGGATGGAGATCAGCGTGCAGGTATGGACTCCTTGTTCGCGTTCGACTCTTGGCAAATTTAGAAGGAGCGAAACACACGGTGCTTCCGAGCGACGCCATCCACGATGATCGACCTGATTCAACTCATCAAGGCTAAAGCTGAACGGTGGATTGAAGCTGGCTCATGGGGGACTTCATATGCATCGCATAACCGCAAAGGTTGTTCCAGTCAAGATGTAGCCCCAAGGAGAAACTCCGCGGCCGGCAACGTCATTCTTGTAACATATAACTTCTTTCTTCTTAAGACTTGATACGCAATGCACTTGCGTATTCGAGGAAAAAAAAAGTTACTGCCTGCTAACTAATCTTCATATTTACTATATTACTTCCCTCTATCTGGGTTTGCTTATCACCAGAAATTTAGTGTAGCACCTTTGACCATTCATTTTTTTCTACAAAATAATCATATACAAAATAACTATATTAGTGTAACCCTAAAACTTTTATGCAGAAAAAAGCGCTCGGTCAAATTTGCTAGGTAAAAACGTTGTAACAAGTAGACAAAATAGTACGAGAATATGACTATGAGGTGGACCTAAAATATGAGCATGGTTTTCTAGTTTTGCATATCGAGCCCAAATTGTACTATCTCCGTTCCAAATTATATGACATTTTGATTTTTTTTAGATTCATGGTTTTTTGTTATGCTCTTAGATATATATTGTCTAGATACACTGTAAAAGTAATGTATCGAGAAAAGCTAAAACAATTTATAATTTGACTGAGGAATATTCTCTAACAAGGATTCTGCTTTATTCTCTGTTTTCAAGTTTTACATGGCGACTTATTTAATGTGCATGATGCAATGCACTGTCACTAGCTAGTCTAATTATAAGATTTTGGGGAAAAAAATAATAGCCTTACGAAGTGTTGAGTGAAAAGCATACTTAATCCACTCCTTTGCATTAAGTAACTAGAGGACCAAAGAAAAAAAAATCCTTATTATGAAGTGATCCATATGCGAAGAACACAGAAACAGTCCGTAAAGATCATCTGACTAAGTCAAAATAGTGTAGCCAGAAGCTTTGACCGCGTCCACAATTACGCAATATTAGGTCTAACGTGAGGTGGGTTAAAGTTTAAAGCTCAACTTTAGACCACTTGTTTAGAGACTTTAGCTTTAAAATTTAGAGCTGAAGTTTAGGGAAAAGGATCCAAACAGAAAATATGTTGTTTATAGCTAAATTTTAGACTAGGCTACTACGCCTTAAAGCTGTAATGTCTCAAGCAGAAAATATGCTGTTTAGAGCTAAATTTTAGACTAGGCTACTACGCCTTAAAGCTGTAATGTCTCCAGCAGAAAATATGCTGTTTCATTTGTTAATCTTCAGTCTAGTCATCTTCTGATAATTAATTGACGAGGAACCCCTTGAACAGTGTCGCAATAACTCGTGGATTAACCATATATATGGAGATTTATCACATTAGAAGAGACAATGCAGTTTCCCTGTCGAGTGCATCCGTCATGATCAAACAAACAACTGTTGTCACAGTAGAGCTATCAAATTTTAGTCAGTACACAAGAAGACAACAGCTTTGCACCATGGTGCGGCTGTGCAAGCACAATGAGAATAAAACAATTTTTCCACCAGAAAAGTTACCACCCCTGAGAGTCTGAGACGGCGCTTCCACGAAATGGTGACATCATGAAATGGTCCCTTTTTTTCCCCTAATGCCTCACCAACCCATAGCCTGCAACGAAACATTTCAGCAGTGATAAGTGTGTGAAAGAAATATGTATATGTATATAGGCAGCTACCATGCGGCCTGCCTTCTCGGTTGTGCCAGTTCTAGACAAACAGACAAACAGTATGACCGCATTGTGTGAAACTGGAACACAATACGGAGCTGAATAACCAGGACAAAGGGGAATGCACGCCTAGACATCTTAGCATAGCAAATACTATGTTTCACTCTTGATGGCTCTCTGACATAGTACCAAAAATAGAATACCCCGCCAACATGTTTAGTTTGGTCCAAAAGGTAGAAGCTCCCAGAAGCCAAAAGGCTGCACCTTCCAAAAGCTAGCAGTCCAAAAATGGCCAGAAGCTCAGATAAACATGGCCTAAATTATTGACAGATCCTTAGGAGCAAGTAAAACTCGGTTCCCAGATGATAAAAGGAAACATAATAAAAGCATCTGAAATATTTTTAGTCAGGATTTTTTTGTCAACTCAATAGAACTTCTTTACAAAAGGTTCATACGAAACAAATGGGAATGAGCAAAGACCCCCAAGTATATAATCACATAAAAAGATTGTCAAACATTGATGCAAAATACATATGCATTCAAAGAACTACTATTTGAGGCGCTGTAAGAAACACCAAGGATAGAAATTACCTCAATGACATCAAATTAATGTTCTCACGTATTGATCGAGATGTTTATTGAAAAGTTCGCACCTGCAAATAAGAGATGCTCAGGAAATTAGTGAATTGAGATAAAGAAGAAACAATGTGGCCAGTAGGAATGAAACAAGAAATACTGGTTGTGTATGGGTAACTGGGTATCATCTCAATTCCCAAAATTAATGATATTCAGGGTTTATATCCACTACAAGACTGTTATCCTCAACAAGAAAGAACACTACAAGTTATGGAACAGTGAGAATTAGGCTATAGCTTATCAATAACTCAGTTGAACATGCTCAAAACAATCATGATATCTGAAAACGACAAATTCATGAACAATCATGTGAATTAAAGAAAGAGCAGTAAACAGTATCACTGAGTGCCACTATCACAATTCACAATTTGAATTTTTAAGCTTAGATTTCACAAGTTTCAGTATGTTTGGGAGACTAAAGACTACTAGATGTGAAAAGATCTAGGGAAAATTGGTCTCATAGCACCTAAAGAACGTGAGATCCAGAAAATATCATCGAAAGTTCATCGCACCGTAAAATACCATTGAAAGTGAGCATCCGTTCCGCAATCTAGCACTCTGTTACTTTCGCCGTTAACGTCGTTTGTTGGAGTCAGTCCGAGCCTCCAAGCTGCACTTCACCTCGCTCCCCGATGACGAGCAGTTCGTCTACCCCTCTGCCAACATGCCATCACGGCCGGGACTGACTTCCTGTGCGGCCTCACGGCCCCGCTCGGCGGACACGCTGCCATGCGCTGGTGGTCTTTCTCCGAGGAGTTCGCCGCCAACTGCTCCCGCCCGCCGGCCGCTGCCTCTACTGGCCCCTCGCCCGCTCGCTCAACGCCGGGCGGCTGCCACGCTTTGCGGCCTCTCCGACGACCACGGCCCCACCTGCTGGGAGTGGCCGCACCTCGACGGCTCGACCTCCCAAAAGGCCTCGAGGCCTCGACTTCTCCCGCGATCGCCTTTGGCCACGACTTCCTCTGCGGCATCAGCAAGCTCGGCAAGACCAGCATGAGCTGCTTCGGGCGCCGCCGCCACGCCCACGCTCGCGGCCTTCAAGAACGCCGCCACCGACCACCGCCACGCTGCGCCGTTGACGCTGGAGGGCGGCCGCATCGCTGGGCGACGGCGCCGTCCCCGAGGTACCTACGCACAAGCTGTCGGGCGACATGCTGACCATGGCGCTCGGCAACGACGCCACCTGCATCCTCTCGGGCAGCGGCCGGGTCCAGTGCTGGACTGCTGGGGCGCCGGGTGCCGGACTAGTACAGGAACACGGATTTCCTGACCATCCAGGCCGACGCGACGCGGTGTGCGGCATCCTCAAGAGCAACTACCCCGTCACGTGCTGCGGGAAGGGCGACCGCACGCTTCGGCAGCCGGCAGCCTGGTCTACAATAGCACCATGCCCGGCACCGGCGCGCGCAAGAAGAGCTGCCAGTGCGACGTCATCTCCGGCTCCGGGCTCCGGCGCAATCTGCAGCACCGGCGGCGCTGAGGGCGGCGAGGTGCTCGCCGTCTGCCAGGCCTGCGTGATGCCGCTGAACGCTTCCAGGATCCTCATTGCCAACGGCAGGGCGAGTACGGACTAGCTGCCGCATGAAGCCACAGCCCGAGCAGCCCTTGTCACACCGTTCAGCAGCAGCAGGCCTATGGGCATGTTCTTGCTCTACCACTGCAGGCCTGCCTAGGTTGATGCAGTCTACAGGTTGTTCTCCACGTCCTCCCATGGTTCCTGCTCATTTTTTAGTGAAACGAAGGCTCGGACGGTGCCAACAAATGACATTGACAGCAAAAGTAACAGAGTGCTAGATTGCGGAACAGATACTCACTTTTGATGGTATTTTACAGTGCAATGAACTTTCGATGGTATTTTCCTGATCTCGCGTTCTTTTCGGTGCTATGAAACCAATTTTCCCAAAGATCTAACACCTGCTGCTGGCTACATCTATCATGTTATCTTACTTGCAGCATCAATATGCCTCCCAAATAAGCTACGCACTTATATCTGTCTAACATCTGCTCATTACTTAGGTCAAATGCTCAAATATGAATTCTGGAGCAAATCATGCCCTTCCACAAATAGTCTAAAAAAAAGAATCCCATCCTTCTAAAAGTTATAATGTTAGCAAAAACAACAATATTATAGCTAAACATGCAGTAAAAACAGATTTCCATTAAACCAACGAAACTTACTTGATTGGTGTTCCAGGAGCGTACAGAGGATTTTTTACAACATATTCCACATATAGGTTGTAGATATGCTTTAGCGAGTCTCGCTGATCACCAGTCCTTGGATGTGTAATTAGTATAAGCTACACCAAGAGGGTAGAGTACTAGAGTAAGTCATAGAGTATAGCTCTGGAGAAAGGAATATTGTACATCTATCTGCTCGATCACTACTATGCTAAAAGAAATGACCAAATTACAAAGAACATTCAATTGGTACAGTGCTGCAGAAAAACAAAGATTGAACAGATGTCTTTCATACTAAAAGTGAAAATGCAACACCATATATTTAGTATACAAATGGAAGGGAAATGGATTTAGCTTTTCAAAGGAGAAAGCGTAATCTAGTGTAAGAATATATCACATCAACAGCTTTCCTGATAGAAGGATGCTGACAGGACTAGGACATTATGGATGACAATTAAATGAAAATAGTCAGCACGCACGGAGGTAGACTACAAGCCATGGTATCCAGTGTCCTAAAACCTGTGATGCACACATACTTAAGAGTGCTCACGTATTGGCTATCAATACTCTGATACTCGTCGGACAAGCATCAGATATTTTGGCATTTTTAAATAAAAATTAGTTCTGATACTTGTCAATACTTCTTCGATTCTTTCATGGGACCACCAAACCCTAAGCTCTCATCATGCTCATAAAACCACCCTCTCCATGCTGCCCCCATCGTTCCTCACAATACAAAGGTACAACCCATTGGTCATACCAGGCAAATTATTAAATCAATGGCGAAACGATCTGATAGTTCGATAGCATCTAAAGCAATATTTATTTCTGCTGCAAGTCACTGTAACCAATCAAATTCATCTGGCCCAAACACAAATGAATGTTGGAATACATAAAAAGAAACTTTGATCTTAACAAGATGATCCAAATATCCAAATTAGTTAAGGCAGCAGGGCAAGAACATAGGCAATACTAACCTTTATACCAGAAGGGCTCTCCATGAAGTTCAGTTTGTATGTGTTTGTCTTGAAGCTATAAAACGAACAACCTTGGCCTGGTAGTAGTGGCACGCCAAGGTTTCCCTTTTCAGCCCTGCATTTGATATGTGAAAAAGGTCAAAAGGAAAATAAGAGAATTAAGCATCTTAGAGACTCAACATTTGTCACTTGCTACACGGTCTAGGTTCTCCAGTTATTTGTAAGTGTTAAATGATTGTCTTTTACAATAACCCTGTTATCAATCGAGCAATGCACAGATTGGAAAAAATATATAATACAAAACTAATGCAACTGGTGTGAAAATACAAAAAACATCAAGCTGTTTGCGAATCCAAGCGAAACATCAGTGGCTTAACATTTGAGCAATTGATCAATTTCCATCCATTTTTGTACCTTTTGTCATATCATGTTAACACTCCAGTAATTACTGTGTCGAACCATCAAACCCCAACCCTTTAAATTGTTACAAGCTCATGTAAACTAACCAGAAAGTCTATATATACACAGGTAGCTGGCAAGAAAGCACCAGCCTGTCCCTTTAGCAATGTTCATAAGAGATGGAGATACTTGTTGTATTACAAGGATAAACCTCGGTTACCCTTTCCAGCTCTCTTCTTCCATTTTCTCCGCTAAATTCTTCTACTACAAAAGAGCATGAAATCTTCTCCAAACTCATCATGCTGTGAACGACTACTTGGACTGATGAAGTGATGATGGAACTCTTACTCATCTCTATAATATTAATCAAGAACCAAGCTTCAGGCAGAGAATCAATCCACGTCGCCTGCTAACCGTCAGATCTGGCAAGGACACGATGTAGACCGTTCGATCTGGGTCATAGCAGGTCTATCGCCCATTAATCCGTAAACTCATGCGCTCACGAATCATCGTGAACCTGCACAATTCTTCCGCCTCTGCTCCTGCTGCCATGCCCATCTCTCTCCTCCGGCTACCCTCCGACGTCACCTGCTCTTCCCCTCTGCTGGGGTGCTGAACAGACGCAATCACTGTTGATCCCAACCTCGCAGGCCTCCAGCGCTAGTCCTCTGTCTCCTGCCACTAGATCACCACCTCCATCGCGCCTGCCCTCCTCTCCTGCATGGCTGAGGTGCGGGGCAAGGAGGTCGCCTCCTCCTAGGCAAGGAAGCCACAGCGAGCGGCTGGGCTGGATGCGCAAGGACAAAGCAACCCCTGGGTGGAGACTCAGCGGCTACATTGAACCCATCGCCGCGCTGCCACACGCTCCCCCTGCCTTCTCTCCCTAGCGCAGCATCACCCTCGCCGCTGCTCCTTTCCTGTCCCTCTCCCCTACCTACACAGAGTGGAGGCGGAGGCAGCGACGGCGCAGCATGAGGAGGAGCAGATCATTTATGGGTGACGCAGGCACATGGCGCAAGGAGGATATGAAGCGTAGATGTGCCGCAGGGGGGGTACTGGCATGGCGCTGATGGTGGGCTGGAGCTGCAAATGCTCAACAGACGCCCCCATAGTGTCCGATGAAATGGTCATTTGGAACGCCATGACCTATCTGCCGCTCGGTCTCTTCCTCTAGCCCCTCCACCGTCGAACTGTCGTGTCTGGCAAGGGTGTCTTTTATTTGCCGTCAACAGCACTGGAGGTCGACCCGTCAGCGTGCTTCAACGAGGATTTGTTCGGAGGATAGACTGCGTTACTTTGTGACACGGATTCATTTTTGTATGTAGTTTCTGCTTCACAAGTAACCTCATGCTATCAGTTTAGGCTGCTAAAAAAGTATTTTATATATACGGGCTCATTTTTGCAAGTAATTTCTGATTCACAACTAACCTCATGCTATCAGTTTAGGCTGCTGAAAAATCATTTTATATGCTCATTTATTTCTAGGGACTAGTTTCAATTTTGGAAGTACATCAATTTTCAAAAGTACATCAAGACGTCCTTGGAGGATGAATCCAAGAGTTGTTGGCATTAGGTAAGAAATGCAGATAGTTTACTTGCTACTTTACCCATTTGTATCATCAATTAATTTATCAGTATGCCTTATGGGCTTCTGCTGTGGATGTCATGCTGTTCAATGTTTATGCTAAGATATAGAATATTTTTATTTTCTGACCATATTCCATAAAACCATTGTGAGTTTTCTCTGCTTTCAAACTGAACTATGAACTATCAGATCACACAAAAGTTAGAGCTGCCACTCTAAATATTCAGCCATTTGGTATATGTGATTTGGCAGGACTATCGTGCTCTATAGAAACAGTACTAGGCCATCATACATACTAAGTGTACCAAAACCTAAATGTGTGGGCTGACCAAAACTGGCCCAATCTAGCTTTGGCGGGGCAAGGTCGCACCTGCCTTTCTAGTCTAGTTTCTAACAGATACATTGGCCAGATGCAGGATTGATGCGAAATTATTTCCGACTAATGGCCGCCTCAATAGATAACCGCTCACACGAGGAGTGCTAGAAGATCGAGAAGCAGGACGTACGTGGTTGGGTCGATCTTGGCGGTGAAGGAGCGAAGGGAGAAGAGGAGTCCGAACATGAGCTTGTGGTCCTGGGTGGGGTCGAGCGTGCGGAGCGGGCGGTGCCACTCGCGGTAGAGCAGGCAGACGCCGTTACGGTTGAAGACGTAGAGGACCTGCGCGCTGGCGCCCGTGCCCGTGCCGGGGGGCGCCGCCGGGGCTGGGGTCACCTCCGGCGCGACCGACGTCAGCGACGAGCCGCCAAAGAACTGCATCGGCCGCCGTTTGCCCGGATCTGTCGCGGAGATGCGAGGCGGATCTCCGGGCGGAAAGGGAGGTTGAAGTCTTCGGATGCGTTTTCCAGGCGAGGCTGGGGTCGTCTTCCGCGCTTCTCGTCCTCCAGGCGCCGATGTGCAGGCGGCTCGGCGAGGGCGTCGGTGTGCAGGCGAGTGGCCAGGCGGCGGTGTGCAGACGGGTGGCGCACTGGGGAGGGGGCAGCCGGGCGGTGGCAGCTCCGGAAGAGGGTCGCCGGGGAGGGGGCGGCTGAGCGGAGAGGGCACAGGAGGAGGCGGCTGGGCGGAGGCAGCTAGGGAGGGGGCGCCGGTGAGGGGGAGGAGCCGAGGGGGTCACCGTGCAGGCGGGCTCTGGGAAGGGGACGACGAAAAGAGGCGATTTGCAAAAATGGGGCTCCCCAAAATCGGTCGTTTGAGATCTGAACCTACATTCATATACATAGACGTAGATGCAGCACTTGTCATCCAGGTGAGTGTCATTATAATCAGAGTCAATTTTTTTTTATATCATTCTTTCAATTTTTTCAGAAAAAATGAGAGCAACGGAAAATTATACTCGTATAAAGAAACTAGAGGATGACAGGTGGGGTCGATTAAAGGACGGTGGCCCAACGACCCTACAAGATGACTTCTAGTTAACGGCGTTAAGAATTATCATCCTCATCCCGTACTTTCAATTCACTTAACCAAATCAAAAGTCTGTCTACTAAACAACCATGTGTTTTATGTAGTTTCAACATATAATTTTTTTTGCACCATAGGATTAAGATCCAACAGCCTCCACCCTTCTTCTACCTCCAGCCTCCACAGATCTCAGATCACATATCATAATTTTTTTCTATAGAAGGACAAATCACAGATCCGTCGTCGCCGCCGCCACCACCACTGCCATGCCCGCGCGCGGACGCGAAGCAGGGTAACCCGGACCTGATCGGCATGGGCGCTCTGGAGCGCGCGTCCATCGAGCAGTGGCTGCAGACGGAGGCACAGAGCTTCGACTCGCCCAGCACCGAGATGGTCTACAGCCTCGCCATCCTGCCGCCCACCCTGCCCAGGCAGCAGAGCGACAACAACAGCAACGGCACTGGCAGCGGGTTCAACGCTAGGGACGTGGTCGTGGGCAGCAACGCCGACGTGTCCAGCGGCAAGCGCGGTGTGGCCGGGTCGCAGCAGCCGACGGCGAGCCAGAGCCAGGTGAGCCCGCAAGAAGGAGGAGGAGATGCTGAAGCTATTCGAGAAGAGGAAGAAGGACCTGGAGAAGCTGCTGGACATTTACGAGCAGCGGCTGGAGGAGGCTAAAAAAATCCATGTGTTTTTTTTTTGTTAAAACACACGTGTGTTGTATAGCATTTCTGAAAAAGAATAGGATGAGCATGTCCTCTTAACCAAAACTTACTAAGGTAATGTTGTCTCATTTCTAAAATCAGAGACAGAATGATACATCTCACTTCGTCTAACATGAGAAGCAATTTTTACTAATAAAGAACAAAAAGAAGAAAAAACGTAAAGAGTATCATGAATATTCAATTTTTTTTAAAATCCAACATGAGAAGCTATTTTACTAAATGTTCTTTTAGAGTAGCTACTTAGAGCCAAAGAAAGTTATTCCAGAGCAGTTTTAGCTAAAGTCGGAGCTCTAAATACATCCTAGAGCACTCCATGCCGCTATAGATCGGCAATATAAAATTAAAAAGAAAAATATCTTTCCATCTTATCCTATCGCGATAGCTCTCGATGGAGAGAGGCATGGGTCAATGGTCACCATAGCCGACACGGAGGATGAGGATTGGATGTCATATGGGTACAAGGGTAGGCCTTTCTCGCGCTACACACCACTGAGCATGTCTGTCTCGGTGAGGAGCTACAGTAACAGAAGCCTGATCGCATCTAGGCCCTAATATGGAATAAATAGGTTTTGGTGATTGATAGAGCATAAATATGTATGACTAACATATATCTTCTTGGGGATAATTGCATTTGAGTTAATCACATTATTGAGAATGGCCACACATGACTTGGTTTCAAGATTTGGTGTTTATCATGTATGGCGAAAGGATTACCAAAAGACTTGGTGTTAATCACATTCTTTAATTAGTGTGTAATAAGTCTTTGTTTCACTGTGAACATACTATTAAGGGGGTCTAAGGCATTTAGCTTCAAAAGTTCAAAGCGATAGTATGGAGATGCATGAAGTGACTAACTTTCAGTCAAATTGATAGCTGCAAGTGGCTAATTCTCACTCAATCTCCTAGTGCTAAACGAGATGAATCGCAACTCTGGCTCGATAAGTGACACGCTCGCCCAAGACCCGATTACAATACACCTCGTGATGTGCTATCACGACTCGAGAGCGAGGACGCGTGTAAAAAGAAACCACTATTTTTGCTCCTCCAGTTTTAGCTCTTGGACACTTTAGCACAGAACTAGTCCGGCCAAACAGGCCCTCTGGAGCGTAGTGGCAGAAAGGAGCGACGTTTGTGCAAAAAGCAGAGGGAGCGGCATACCAGCTTAAGGGAAAGAGAAATCGAAGGTACCGTTTGGATCCTTGAGATTTTATTGGATTTCGTGCTTGTGAGATAAAATCTACTAAAATCCTAGGGCCTATCTGAATGCCCTTAGGATTCTGCAAACTGGATTAAAAAATCCACACCGTCTCCAAACGGGATGGATAATGAAAATCCCACAGCCACATTTTCAGAATCTTAATATCCAGCTACAACCAGATAATAGGATAAACTAGATTACTAGATTGGTAAAAGACTTTCTTGCCCCTATAGCAGGTACAACCAGAATTATTTTATTTTTTAATTGATTGCAACATTGAGGGCATTATGGGCAATGAACCCCTTCAACTATCTACAATCTCAAGGCAAAATCCAAAGATCCAAACGTGCTAGATTCTTACTATCTAGAAACCAGATAATAAAATCGGTATTGCAAAATCCAATTTTTTTAGAATCCCTTGGGATTCAAACATGCCCCTAGACTGTTTGGAAGAGATTCTAGGATTCCAAGATCTTTTTTATCTGGATTCTTAGAATCCCCAAGGATCCAAACATGCCCGAAGTAGATTGGGCAGTTGAAAGTTCTAGTTTGGTTTTGGATAATTGATAAAACATAAGCACTAACCTTTGTCATGAGTGATGATATGAGCTAGGTTGGTGCAATCCAAGTGAGGAGCATGGTGGCACTCAAATGGTGATGTTGATCACATGAGATGATGAGATGGCCACATGTGATGATGATCAAGTCCTCAACTTGGAAAAGAAGAAAGAGAAAAACAAAACCATATGGAGATCAAGGCAAAGGTATAATTAGGGATTTTGTTTTAGTGATCAAGACACTATAAAGAGTGTGATCACATTTAGGATAGCTGGCCGTACTATTAAGAGGGGTTCTTAACTAGACAATTCGGTCATCTAGTGCCACTAGGTGTTGGACTTCATGCATTGCATTTAGGCCTAGTTGAAAGGACCTAGGATGTCGCCTAGAGGGGGGGTGAATAGGCGTTTCTGAAAATTAACACCTTTAAATGCGGAAACAATTAGAAAGGGGAGTTTCCAAAATGGAAACTCCAAATTAAGAGTACTACCACCCCTCACAAGTTAGCCACAGAGTAAACAAGGTATAAAGAATATATCTAGAAGCTACAACCCTGCAACATCAAGTTAGAACAGAGAATAAATATTTTTAGTGCAGTAGAAATCTGGGACGTGTCCGTATATACATTCTTTCGCAGATCAGCCCCGAACTTGCTCCTTTTGATTTCTATCTTCAAACCAAACTGCAGGCACCTAATTTAACTATCAAGATATATACAGAGAACTGCACAAGTGCTAGAGCAACACAAATATCAAATGAAATGCTAATTGAGACACGATATTTGTTTTATCGAAGTTCGGACTCGTTCGAGTCCTACTCTCCGTTGAGGGGGTCATGGGCGACCCAATGAAGGTCAGCCCTAGAGGATACCACGAAGGTCACTCTAGCCGGAGTCTTTTCCAACTCCTTTTCCTCCTTCCACTAATTGATTCCGAGGCGGCGGAATCAATTCTATAAACTTTTCGATGCACACCACAATCTCCGGGTGCTCTCCGCGACGTCTAACCGTCTAGGACCGAAGAGTCCAAGAGTAACAAATGCGAATCACGAGATTGACAATATGCACAAGTGCTCAAGTGGTTGGATGGCTCTCTTTGAATTTCACTCAACCCACAAATTGATTTTGCAAGTTTGATCAATCACTCACTAAGAGAGGGTTGGCAAGGCTCAAAAACGTGTGTCTAAGTCAAGAATCAGCAGACCTCCAAAGGTGGAGGCTTGGGGGTATTATAGACCCCTTGAAAAACTAGCTCATGAGTAGTTGCAATAATACGGACACGTCCGAGTATGCATACCGGACACGTCCGGTATGACTCAGATCGCGCCAACGGTAACTAAGTTCTGATGATGTTGTGAGGCATCGGAACTCCCGAAGAATGCCGGGACTTCCGACCGTCGGAACTCCCGACACAAGTCGGAACCCCGACCCTCAAGAATTTTGAAAAACATGTAATCGAAGTTAAAGTTAGTGAGGTGTCGGAACTCCCGACATATGGAACTCCTCGACCGTCGGAACTCCCGACATACGTCGAACTCCCGACCCTCACGGCTTTTGAAAACTAGCCGTTGGCTTACGGTCATCCATACCGGACACATCCGTATTATTATCGGACACGTCCGGTATGATGAGACAGACGAAGAACCCTCCAAGTCGGGTTGAAAGGCGACACGCCGAACTCCCGACCCATGCCGGGACTCCCGACCGTCGGAACTCCCGACCTACGTCGGAACTCCCGACTAACCAACCCGAGAACAACAATTTTACAGCTGCTGGACAAATACCTTGCTAGTGTTAACACCTTTTGTGGTCTTCCTAAGCGTATTTTTATAAACTAATGTGTTCGGCTTAGGAGTTTTACCATTTGGACATTCATAGCTTAAATGCCCCTTTCTTCTACAAGCATAGCATATGTGGCCTTTGTTTGCTCTATGCTTGTTTTGCTTGTATGGACATCCATCGAGCTTATGGTCCGTCTCATTGCACCCATAGCATCTTCTAGTTGTAACTTGGGCTTCCTTTCTTGCTTCTTGGTTCATTGGGTATTTCTTGGTAGGATGCCCCAATTTCTTGCTCATGAGACAAGCACATTGTCCATGACTCTTCACTTGCTTGGCCTCCTTGGTAGAAGCCTTTTGATTGGCGGCTTCAACCTTGTCGGCCCAACTCTTGTGTGGACACATAGCCCACTCATGTCCATACAATCCACAACCATAACACATCCTTTTTTTCCATGTTTCTTGCTCTTGGTTGTGTTGGCCTTGCTTGAGATGTGATTCTTTTGTTGGGCTTTGGAGGAAGCAAGGTTTGAACCCTTCTCAAGCTTCTTCACCATGTTATCACGGTTATCTTGAGAAGGTTGTGCTTTCTCCTTACCCTTCAACCGAATCACATCTTTCTTTAATCTTTGCACTTCTTCTTTGAGCTCTATGTTTTCTATAAGATTTAGCTCAATCGAAGATTGGCTTGCTTGAGGAGCACACTCATTAGTACAAGAAATATTTATTTGAGATGGTGTACTAGTGAGCGGATGTGTGAGAGGTTGAGAGAATTTTACCGATGTAATCACAACCTCATGAGCCACCTCAAGCATGATGCTTGATTCTACTACTTCCTCATGAGAGCACTTTAGATGAACATAATTTGCTTGTAGCTCATTATACTTGCTTGATAGTTCATCGAGCCTTGCCTTGAGCTCGAAGTTTTCCTTCTCTAGTTGTGAAACACTAGAAGAGGAATTAGTAACTAAAGCATGCTCGATTGACAATTTTTCATACCTCTCATTTATTGCCTTTAGCTCTTGCAATTTGGAGATGAGAAACTTTTCTTGATTTTGAAGCGATTGCTCTTGCTTCTCAATCTCTTCTTCAAGCTCATCATTCTTTTCAACTATCTTCATGATGATGAACTTGTCTTTATGGTTGAGATGATCAAGGTTGTAGTTGTCTTCAATTTCAACATCACTCTTATCTTGATCATCTACTTGTGCTTTCTCCTTTTCTTGATCTTTCTTGTTATTCTTCTTCTTGCTTTTCTTGGCCATGAGACACAAGTGATGAGTATCATGAGATACTGAGGTTGACTCATCACTTGGTCGCCATCGGGCTTGAGCATCGCTACTAAACATTTGCTTGTCGGTTCTGTTTGCCTCGCCATACGGGACACGTCGGTGAGGCATACCGGACACGTCCCAGACATGCAGCAGACAGTGAAGTCATGCGCCGCTTGCACTTCTTGCTCTACTCGGCACTCTTGAGGTTTTGTGAGGCTTCTTCATTGTATGAAGACACAATGGATATTCTTTCCATTGACTCGATCTCAAGTGCATCATCACATTTGGATTTTCCATATAAATCA